GATTAAGTCTCTCTGACGCTTTGTCGGTAAACTGTTTTCTTCATTTTTCAAAGCTTCCCATTTTATCCATCACCCAAATCGCAGTTCACCGGTCTTGTGGATAGCTCTGAATTTCGAAACGCACAGTTTGAGTCTATGGACAGCCGTGTGGCTCGACTGAAGAAATGGCTAACCTTCGACCTCAAAGACGATCATGGGATGCTTTAAATAGCACGGACAAAGGGCGGCCAATCTTATGTTCATTATTTCGAACGAACAATGTAATCCGACCTTCTGTTTAGCTTAATGCAGAGTCATGCAATCGATCGACGTCTGGTAAATTGGTGTGGTTCGATGCTGTGGCCTGTCTGTTAAAATGCTTACTCGACTTAGTCTTTATCGGATCAACCATTGCCTGACAGATGACTTAGTGGTAAACGTGATAAACGGAGGTAAAACTCATGGAGTGAAAGTAGGAAATGAAAGGGTCTTCCAGAAAGGAGCCATCTTCTGAGCAAGTGGCGGAAGTGACTGAGGCTGCTGTAATTGGATATGACAGATGCAAATCCTTCGACCTTCGAACGATGCCACCGCACTTCAGTGGCCCTCACATATTCCTGACTGGTGGTAAGTAAGGACTGACGGTGATTTTGGCAATCGTCAAGCAGTAATGAGGCATTTGTTTTGTACCCGGCTGCCGTTTGTGCTGCATCGATCGATCGCGCCTCGTTTTTCTTCGACGAACCGCGCACCTGCTGGCTTCGTCGTTGCTCCTCAGTCTGAGAGACGTCGTCCGTCTATCCGAAGACGGGAGAACGGTTGTGAAGAGTTCGTTCGTTGTTCGTCGACCATTGGTCTGAAGATGTTGAACATGACCGTCGTCGAGGCTACATCGAGCAGCTGACCGTACTGCATCGCTGATGACACGTAGATCTTTGTGCAGAGCGACCAGAGGGACACAGATTGGCCACACGCTTCACCTTAGCCGCTGGACGTCCGTCAGTCCGCGAATCGACATACGGCAAGCGGTAATGCGTCATTTAAGTTTTTTCTCCCCCAACTCTGCGGCCCTCTTGCTGACGTCACGAATCAGTTAGCTGACTCACAACCGATGGAGAAGCGAGGCTTCGCGAAACCGGTGCTAGTACTGACGTTGGTACCAATATCGGTGCCCTCTTGACGTTAGCCGCTTGAGCGACGCCGTTGTTCCGTTTTACAAATCCGTACACCTGTCGCAACTATGCTAATGGACGGTGCTGTGTCGACTGACCAGATTTACTGAAATTTATTCAATAAACATGCAATTAATCTTCGATAACAAGCGTAAATTTAATTATGCCTATCGTGTGACCATCGATTTGCTGTTGCCTCGGTGGAAAAGCGCCGTTTTAAATAAAGCAGTAATGATATGATGTCAGTTAAGACACTGCCGTTGCCTCACCTCCTCGATTGCCCCTTATTTCACTAAACCCTTCAGCACCCGTGTTCAGTGACACGCATGCACATGTGTTATCGGCTCGGGCTGTGCCACCGTCGACGACGGGAGAAATCGAAGCGCTTTGCTGTGTCGCCCGTCTACCAAAGCCGTCTGTCAATCTGTTTGATGTATCAAATGAGGCCTAGCTTTTCTTTGAGCGCGGCAATATCTGAGACGACCAACGCGATTAACACGTCACAGCCGGAAAAACACCTTGGATCAAACGCTTTGTCTGTCTTGTCGGTTGCGAATTATTTGACTTAGCAGCGTCAATATTTACTCGCAGTGTAAGCGTTTCTTCTCTAATGTTCTGTCGGATGATCTGAACTTGCCAGTTGTCGATCGATTCGTTTCGCATGATGATCTCAAGATAATCCATTTGATCATAGGATCATGTTTTGTCGCTCTAATGGCTTTGTTGCTACACGGTTTTAGGCCTTGGTTGAGTCGCGTGCAAATTAATTAAACGTCAACGACGACTGACTGACGACTACGTAGCTCAGGTGTTGCGCTCCGTCGTCGTGCACAACTTGTGCACAAGTACATTTTCAGAGTCTGCGTTTAATCGTCCGATGCGCAACTGCCGTCGGCCACTGCGTGCCCACTGCTTCAAACGGCTGTTTGCTATGTGCCCTGGGCGGATGATTAGAGTCTATCCAGTGATCCGTCAACACATGTGACGTGGCAATCACAAAATTTCTGTCGCATTAAATATCCGCCACTAATCGTGTATTATTTATCACATATCATAATGACGGAACCGCTGGAGCTAGTCCTTCAGCTGCGCGCCGCATATTCCGAAACGGTTTCGGACATCTTCCAAGCAGCGTACTTAAAAACAGAGTTTTCAAAATCCCGCCGACAGAACTGCCCTCTTCCTCTCATCTTTCCGGCATGTTTCTGCTGCATGTTCGGTCGTGTACACTGTACACACCGGGCTAGTGATCTGTGCACAATTTTGCCCGTGTTTTCACCGATCGTAAGCTTCGTTCGACAAGAAGGGTGCGCTTCAGGGCAACTTAGACGGTCTTACTTCTTGCTCAATTCGGTTGGGCCACTCTTCCATGGCTTCCTCAACGAAGGTAGCGCTAAGTCCTGCGCTGAGGCCGTTGCAGCTTGTTTTCTACCAGCCTGCTATTTGAGAATAAATGCACGAACTGTGTCTGATCCTGTGATTCCCTTTTCTGAAACACCACGGTGTCGGCGATATTCATTCCATGTATAGCATAATTCTAAAGGTCTTGATCGCCAAAGGAAATAGATAATAATTATTATTTTCTAATTTTATGCATGCCTAACTGTAACTGCCAGACGATACTTGACAATGCCACTGAACATTTGGTGGTGACAATGCAAACAGTTGATTGCACATGTTTCGTTGATACGCTTGAAACTTTTCCCCCGGTGTTCCCTGCTCTTGTAATGTTTGTGTACGGTGAGTGTACTTGCATCGCGTGCATGCCGGTTTCGCAAAAGCACTTTTTCTGATCGAATTTTGCTGCCCTCCGAACATTATATTTCCTATTTCTGTGTGTTTATTCTCGTTTAAGTTCAGTAAAGCGACAGACATGGTTGCCAAGGACAGTGCGATGAGCGCTGTTCGTGTTCGACAATCGCACCGTTGTTTCATTCTGCCTCACTCTGCTCCTCTATCTAGTTATTTAGTTATTACGGTGTTGCGTTCAGCGCGTGACAAGTGCTTGCATTATAGAGGGAACGAAACTTATAACTACGGTCCTCTTCCGCCTGAAGGCAAAAGCCCGATTGAGGTGTTGATCAACGCGATCAGCGGAGTGAACGTTACGCTAGTCATGAGTGGTTTGGAGCGGTTGCTGCAGGACTCATACAAGTTCATCGGCTTGGCGGACGATCTGCACGACATCAAGGGGTATTTAAACGATATGCGCCTATGCTTTTTGGCACTCACCATAACTCTTTACGTCGGCGTATTTCTGTACGGACTGGCTTACTGCATCAATCGAACCAGACGTCATCATCGACCGAACAATCCGGCGATGTACGACGAAGAGGTTGCATGGGACAATCACCACTCGCACCGACCAAACGACTCCTACGCCTACAGATCGGCAGCGTACAAGAAATCGCAGTTCAACCGCCATCGTTACGGCGGCGGTGCCATGGCTGCCGTGCATGAAGAACTGGGCGATACTTCGGCATGCAAACCAAACGGCCCCCTGGACACGACGGTGGTCAGCAGTGAAATGGCTGAACAGGAAAAGTTTCCAATCACTACGTGATGTTGCCGTTCGCTGGCTGATCACCCTCATTTCGCCCCGCTCATCAGGTACTTCTCGCCGTCTCAGATCATCGTCCTCTATTCACTCCAGCTGTTATTCATCCGCCAATCATGCGGCGTTCGCTTCTGTTCATTGTCTAGCCACGGACCAAATAATTTCGTCCGTCGATTGTAATCAAAACCATTTTTGTGTAATTTCATTTCTCATTGTTTATTTGCATTATCATTGCGAATTTGATTGGCTGAAATAAAAGCAGCTATGCGTATGATTTATCGTGTTTTAATGTACTTTTTGTGCAACCCGAAACTGCTCTGTAAGTCAGTTTTGTTTTCAGTGTCAGCCAGTCATCATTCTACTTTTTCCCATTCTTTGTTCGAATCATCGCCGAATTTTCGGTTCCCATATTTTTCGCTGATTGCCTAACAAACACACACTCACATCGTCGAGGTCTGCATGGATGGGCGGAACGAGCTTCCACGTTCTGTCCAATGACGCAGTCCCTGTATGCACTACTGCCAGCTATGCAACGGCATTTAGTTGTACTGCTTGCACATTTCCCCTTTGCTGTCGCCATCCACAGAACCAGAGAATCTGCTATCGACAGACGCGACATCACGGTACTTGCGTTGAACTGAATACCGTTCAGCGGATTATGACGCGTTCTGCTAATGAGACAGATAGTTCTGCAGTAATCACGACAGTATGATGCGAAGCTTCATATGGGGTTTGCAGGTTAATTTAGCCAAAATAATGAAGAACCTTTTCGAGCAGCTAGTTCGCGTTACTGGTTGTTGATGTTCAGTGGTTAGTTTGTTCGGCTGAAGGTTATTCTACCTTTTTCTGGATTCTAGTGATTATTTTTCAGCTGTTACTTTGCATAACTTTCATAAACAAAGAAAAAACAATGGAGTATACGTCGGTGAAATTTGAGAGCTCTCGACGCACAAAAATAATTATAAGATTAATTAAAGAAGTTGATTAAGATCAATTCTCCTGTTCTGCTTACATTTGCACGATGCCAGAAACACCAGGAAAC